GGGGGTGGCAGTCGCGGGGGAGAGCTGGGCTGCGGTGCCTGTGGCCCCAGGCCCGCTCACCCAGCACTGCCGCCCCGCAGGATGGCCGGGTTCGACGGCTCGGCCTGGGACGAGGAGGAGGAGGAGCCGTCGGACCACCAGTACTACAACGACTTCCCCGGCAAGGAGCCGCCCCTCGGGGGCGTGGTGGACATGCGGCTGCGGGACGGCGCCAGCGCAGCACCCACCCCAAATCACCTGGGGGCCACGCTGGTAAGCCCCACGCGGGGAGGGGTGGATCCCACTTCCCGCGCCGGGACAGAGGGGAAGTGAGTCCAGACTGGGCTGTGGGTGGACATGCGGCTGCGGGACGGCGCCAGCGCAGCACCCACCCCAAATCACCTGGGGGCCACGCTGGTAAGCCCCACGCGGGGAGGGGTGGATCCCACTTCCCGCGCCGGGACAGAGGGGAAGTGAGTCCAGACTGGGCTGTGGGCCTGGGGCCTCCTGGCTGACGAGCCCCCTTGCCCGGTCGGCCTCCGGCTGAAAGCTGAGGGGTACGTCCGTGCCCTGGGGGGATCTGCCAGTGGGAGAGGGTGGCAGCTGGTCAGGCTGTGAGCAGCGGGAGGGGCAGTCGGAGCCTTGGCCACTCCTCACCTGTCTCTTCCTCCGCAGCCTGTGGGCCAGATGTCCAGTGGGGAGCACGACCCCCGGAAGCAGCAGCCTCCTGCCCAAGGTCCCGATCGCAGGCAGCCGTGCCACGGGCTCCTCCCCGGCCTGCTGGGGACCCCGTGGCCTGGCTCGGATGCTCCCGCTCGGCCATTAGAGCAGGGCCCCCCTGCCCTGTGCAGCGCTGCCCTGCGTAATAGGCCAGCCTGGCCCGGGGAGCACGGTCCCCGAGGGGCTGAGCATCCCCTGGGGGTGCCAGGCCAGGGAGCCCAGTGCCCCAGGCTTTCCTGGCTGCATCATTCCTGGGTTTGCCTGGGTCCCGGGGAGCCAATCAAGGGGTCCCAGCGGAGTGGGGGGCTGGCCCCCTGGCTGGGGTCCCTGGAGCGGGGATGGGAAGGGCAAGCCCTGCTAACTGTAGCTCTCCTCCCCGCAGGGAGGGATAAATACGCCCCCGGAGCTGGCCCAGCCCCCCGCCCCGACCTGTTCGATGACCCGTCCTACGTCAACGTGCAGAACCTGGACAGGCCACGCCAAGCCTCTGCCGCCAGCGTCCCAGCCACGGCCAACGGCAACGCCCAGCGAGACCTCTTCGACATGAGTGAGTGGGGCCGCCCGGCCTGCTGTGCCCTGGGGCAGGGCCTGAGGGTGGGCTGCACGGCCATCTGCTCCTCCCCAGACTCAGCCCGGCACCTCTCCCCTGCAGAGCCGTTCGAGGACGCCCTGCGCGGCCCGGCCCCGGGGCCAGTGGGGCTGCCGCCGGCCCAGCTCCTGGGCTGCATGGAGGAGCAGCTGGGGCGGGGGGCCCCGGAGCACGG